CCCCAAAACCCCAAAACCCCAAAACCCCAAAACCCCAAAACCCCAAAACCCCAAAACCCCAGCACTGAAATGCCGAATTGCTTACAGAAATAATAATAAATTTTTACCATCTCACTCATCTACAAGATATCTAAAAATGAGCGAAGCTTACAATTTCCTGTTCTCCAGATGCCACGTTGCACATGAAAGAATTCTCAAACTCCACCAGTTCAGAGAGAGAGCCAAACCAAACTTAAAAGCCGAAGACGAAGAATCATTCGTCGTTAATCCTCTGCAATGAAGACCCGACGTTAGATTAATGGAGCAAAGAAGAAGGATGTCAACTAAATCTGAAGAGAACCATGACATTCCTATAGACTTCTCCTTCCAAGAGGACCTCCCTGGAAACGAATCAGATTTGTATCAGGAAAAGTTTTATGACGCTAATATAGCAAATGCCATATGGAAAGACGATCTTGATGATGGATTCTTGACAGATAACCTCCACGACCAAAAATTCGAACTACATGAATGCCACGAAGATCGCGGAGTCACAAATACATGAATTGTCCTAGAGGACCAAAATAATTTTGAAAACGTGAAAGATATCCAAGATGAGAATTTCCTGGATGATAAAAATTATAACTACAAGAATCTAGAATTGGAATTAGCCAGCTTCCATCAATCCTTCGACACGTTTGCAATGCCAGAGATTAAAGACAACCTTGTTGCTGTCAAGGATCTTACTGTATTTGGAAAAGTTGTATCTACAAAGGAAGATGAACCCGCTCCGCAAGCAAACGTCAACCCCATTGTTAAAAGTTCGAAAGGGCGGGGCATAAAAAGGAAGACTAAAACTAATTCGTTTGCATTAGGAAGAACTTGCTTCAGAGGCATGAGTAATTACTTTAAAAACAAGTTTGAGCCCTTTTTGAAACAATGGGAAAAAGATTTTTCGAACACTGAAAGGAAATCAATGGATAAACTAATCAAAGATTTTATTCAAATCGAGTTTACAGATTGCCAGCACTGAGTAGATTCCGATGAGTTCCTCAATAGCATGGTGACAATTCTGCACTCTCAAAACTACAAGAAGCCAGACGACTACATCAAGAGAAGAGACTTTAGAAAAATCAGAAGTCTTTTATACTGTTTTTCTTCCAGTGCCAAGAAGAACTTTATCTCTGACAAGACCTACGCTATCATTTTTCAGAATTTCTTTGTCAAGGCACGCGATGAGTTCCTAGGATCTAAGGCTAAGGCGAAAAATCCTGCATTCCGTGATGAACTAAGTCAGGAATTGGAGGATATTTATTACTTATCCCTGGAGACTCTAAAGGAAAGTCAATAGTTATTTTTCTTTCCTTTGCTCGTCATATTTTTAACGCTCTTTTATTTGATAATACCATTTGTAATACCTATAAGTCAATTATATTTTACCATTTGGGGTTTTGGGGTTTTGGGGTTTTGGGGTTTTGGGG